GCACTGGTGGAGCACTTCGCTTCTGTACATACATGTTGGAATATGCCTCTGCCGAGCTCGACGTGTGCAGCCCCTACTGAACTCGAGGGCCTTGATTGCGGTGTTGAAGGCGTCCGCAACCTACTCGTCAGTCTTGATGGCGCAAAATCTGCCGGACCCGATCGACTTCACCCGCTAATTTTGAAGTCATCGGCCATCATCTCGCCTGCCGTGACGGGTCTGTTCAACAGATCACTGTCCGAGGGTGCACTGCCGAGCGACTGGAAATGCTCAGTAGTGAAGCCGATTCCAAAAGGTAGTGACCCACGCAATGTGGCAGTTACCGGCCGATTTGTTTCACCTTTGTTTTGGCGAAGATGCTCGAGAAGATTGTGAAAATGGGTCTTCTCCAGCTTCTGGAGCCGAACGATCTCTTAACGCCGGCACAGCACGGGTTCATTAAGGGCCGCTCGAGCATCATCAACCTTCTGTTGACGCGGCTATAATGGTTGCATGCATTGAATTGGAGGAAGTCAGTGGATGTTATCTACATTGATTTCAGTAAAGCTTGCGTTAAAGTGAACCACGAGGTCCTACTCCACAAGCTGAGGATTTGTGGTGTTGGTGATGCATTGCACCAGTGGATCAGTGACTTCCTTATTTGGAGAAAATGACGGGTTCAGGTGGATGACCACCTAACGGAATGGTACCCGTCCACTAGCAGCGTACCCCCAAGGCACAGTACTGGGGCTCATTTCATTCCTGATCCACACCAACGAAGTATCTCCGCTTCTTCGGCCGCCCTGCATATTATTTGCGGATGACCTGAAGACTTGGAGGATTATTGGTTCTACCGGCGACTGTGACGTCCTTCAGCAGAACCTCGACCGCCTATCCCGGTGGTCTGCAGAAGTTGACCCACCGGTCAACACGTCCAACTCCTCGTTTATGAGCCTGTGGAGGGGTAGTAATGTGCGTGCGTACACCCTGGTCGACCACCCGCTGCATCCCACCAGTTCCGTAAATAATCTAAACGTACTCTCACACTGTGATCTGAAGTCTGTTGACAAGACGAATAGACTGTACGCAACCAGACTACGCCTGCTTTGGTCACTTCGACGCAGCTTCTGCACTTGGTCTGAAGAGATTGCCAATCGTCTGTTCGCTTTCATACTAAGACCGGTGCTTGATTACGGCTCACCCACTTATTGCTTGTTCACGATAGATGAGGTGCAGAGACTTGAACGGATCCAGCATGTAGCTACCCGGCTCATCCCCAGTTTACGAGGTATGTGGTACGAGAACCGATGTAGGAGACTAGGGCTTTATACCCTCACATCCTCAGCTTCGAATTGATCTCATTATGACGCACCGGATACTGCACCTGGACCACTTTCCTATGTTGAAGCCACTGCTGCACGTTCGCGTACCAAGCCGCACACGCGGACACCGGTACAAAATAGTGGTATCGGAGCTAAAGCGCATCGCTCACCCTCTATGCTTCGAGCGTCGAGTGGTAAACTATGGGAACAAATTGCCGGAGACGCTAGTCGAGGCAAAATCGGTGTCGGAATTTAAGAGATTGCCTGACGCCTACTTTGCGGACTACAGGTATAGGGAGCGTATTACACCCAGATAAAATGTACAGCTGTAATATGCTGCAGAAATCAGCGACGTGATTCCGCACCTGTGCCCGATCCACCTACGATGGAGCAACACCGATTTTGATCTTCTCTCTCTCTTTTCTCTGTATTCAGTATTCCACATAACGGCTCTTGTGGTCGTGTGGAGTCCACAAGAAACTCTTCTCCGAGTTCAACACAAGCGGAGTGCGTCAGTGCTGTCCCGCATTTCCTTATTATGTTTAAAGCGATCATTAGTAGCTCTCTTTCCTCCTTCCTCCTCCTATCGGGTCGATGTTCTGTTAGACGGTCGAATGTGAAATCGGGAAAATGCGGATGACGATGTTCTCTAGGTCGAATGCAGCTGCTATACAAGCTCTACTGAGCGGAGTGACGCATAACGTTGCACTCTTCTAGTGTCTGACCTCCGATTTGTAAGGGGCTTTTATAGGAATGGGTCGACTCACCACCAGTTTCAACTTTCTGATGAGTCTCCTAAGGTAGTCGGTCGATCTGCTTACTTGAGTAGTCGTATCACTTCTAACGGTCATGCCACCGAAGTGGCTATTCTAGCGCTGATAATACTCGTGCATCTTTCCGAAGGACCGGTCACTTACGCAGACAGCGGGATGTAATGTTAACGGTTGAAGGTATAGCTTACCATGCTACAGTGCGGCAGTTGTTACTCTATAAATCAGAGAACTGGTCGGTGCTTGAATATGACGTTAAGAGACTGATCATCTCCTACCACTAATGTCTGCGAACTTCATAGAACTGAGTGGTTATTACCGAAGTTTATCATTTGGTGTTTGGCAACTGACCATCTGATGCCTCATTGGATAATGCTTGTTGAACTTGGATCTACTTTGTTGACCCAGTCCTTGGCTACGCATGTCTGCCAGCCGACTGCTTCGAAGTGTTCTGTTTACCTGTACTGTACCTAGTCGGGTGAACCCCCTGTGGTTAGTCAGTGACATGACAAAATAGCACAAGGAAACCCAGATGCGCTGCGTCGGTTTGAAGAATATCATCTTCTTGGATTAGGTCTTCGGGGTTGGGCATGCCAGTGGTAGGGAATGTAATGGGATATGACACGCTCATAGGGTCAATGGCTTTCCTACTTTTATTCCCCCATTTTAAATCGTTGGCTATTCCATTTGACGATATATATTCCTGTTGCCACCCATCGATTATTATCGCATTATTATCATCACTGTTTTTATAATTAATATTATTATTTTGGCTGTATATGCTGCGGTAATTGGATTCACTGCACGTCGATGAACGAACCATAGTTTACGTACTGAGAGCTCTGATGATGTGACAGCACCGTTTGTGCTCATTGTTTTGGTGTCGCCTGTTTCTAACTATGTGATCCGTGATCATGGGGATGCAGACCCCATGGACGTGATCCCGGACACATCCTCTTCTACTGATGGAAATATGCATTAACGCTTCTGCTACTGTATTCTACCCGCCCTAAGCAGGCCCCACATTCAAACCCGTAATATGCAGGACTATAGTACTGAGTTCCTCTTACTCTCAAACACTAACCTATCTGGATTAGCTTTATGGTTACATAATCTCGTGATCTAGTATCTCTCAGCGAACCAGAGAGCATCGCAGGCCATTTAACCACATCATGGTCCTGTCCGTTGCGACATTCTGAAGTGTCTTTTTACGGACCCCTTTGAATTGTTCTACCATTAAACCCATTGGATTGAATGAACTGTTTGTTTTCTTTTTCGTATGGGATGACTTTAGTGCATTTTGCTTCCAATAACCCTACATCCGCCGTACTACACACACTGGCTTTTAACTTATTTGGTTTATGAGGATTTCATTTGGTTCTGCTTCTAATGTTTTCCCATACCGCTTCTCTGGAACTCTTAAATATTCGACGAAATATATACCCTTGCATCCTGTGTCGGTCTTTCATTTAGTTATTCGATCTACTATGCTTTGAATATGCAAAGTGTTTGTTAGCTACAAATTACTCCTTGACACTATCACATAAAGAGGAAGATCAGTTGGCATTATATAACCTTCCACATTTTTCTAGCTAATCAATCTAGGTATGTCCTGCCGAGTTTCTCTCCAAATTTACCTTTGGTGCTTTTTGCGTAAAGAACTTGAGACCATTTTGCAAGCCAAAATGCCGCATTTAACAATATACTTAGTATTGCACATCTGATGCCACAATTGACAATAAGCTTCTCTTACATAGTTGGCAGATGGCTTAAAGATACGCTTTGTTTTACCTCAAGAGACTCGCTGCCGTATGTAAACGGCGTTCGCTGGTTGTTTACTGTTTTCCTGGTGTCGGCATCTATTGCTACCAACGGTGTTTGTTGGCTTGGGGTCAAGTTAAGCAAATTCCAAATGCAGTACCATTAGTCCTTTGCCCGAGTTGCCATTGTTTGATCGCATTATTTCGATCTTTTCCATTTTCCCATACTATTCATTGCCGTGTAGTTGTGCATGAATGCGGGTTTTAGATAACACTTTGATAGACGCAGCACGCGCTATCACTGCACGCTAGAGTGCCATCCCCTAGTTGAGGGCTAAGGATTCCCAATTGCCGGTACACCTGTTGAAGTTTGCGGTTCAAAATGGCCTTTGCGCTTAGAGTGTTTATAGATAATAACTGTAGATCTTTGATTTATTTCACAGAGTCGGACAAATCATATTCTTCATCGTGATAGCTCATGTATGAATACCACCGTTTTCTTTGATGGGATGTTAATGCAATTGAAGCAATATGCCTTGTCGGTAGTGTTTACTTTCACATACATTTCATCGGTGTTTTCCATGGTGTTCATTGTCATCCTTTCTCTCACTTTCTCATGCATAAATCAGTTAACTTGCGGAATAATTGGATACCTAATATTGTCCTCAGGCATTGTCAGTATTAGTGGTACACTAACCTTGTACGCTAGATTTAACCCCAACACACGTCCTTGGTTGTCTGCAGCAATGGAATTGACAGACGGCTCAACTTTACCTATGTTGCTACGACTACCGTCGACTTTTTGTGTATACAAAACCATTGGCATCGGACGATCAAGATTTTTGGAGATGGTGACCTTTGACCCCAATGCATGGATCGACTGTGCTCATATCTCTTCTACTGATGTATGCTTTCGACTGTTGCTTGTGTACAGGCGACCAGCTAGCAAAAAGTAGTACCAAGTTCGGATTTGTTGTACTATACGTTCCTCCTTCCTCATTACGGCTGTTTACTATCGCTTTTGCCATTATTCCTACACTGTATTCACCAGCTTCTTTCTCAAACTATTTCGCAAGGTTTTTTACCACTTAATTTTGTTAACATGTTACCTTTTACCGGTTCTCTTGCTAATGTACATTACTTCGTTCCTCTATTTCCCTGCTTCTCAGAGATGGCGTGAACGATATTGTGTCCTCTATAAAGTTCGCTCACGAGATAAAACGGAGATATTTTTCGAATATTATAAGGACTCGCATTGCACTAAGCTCAAAGGTACGTTGTTGTTTTCTTCTACATGGAAGAGCTTTTCCAGACTAGTGTTTTTCGTGTTTTAGTCGTGGTAAGTATTTGACATCTTTGGGGCCGCGCCTGTCTGCTTCGGGCTACATGACACCTTTTCCGACACTACTGTCATAAACGGTTGCAACGAGAGTGAACGTTATCGTGGCGTGACAGTTTGCATTCCTCTTTGACCCTTTGAGTCTTACTGGGTGCTGCCCTCGACCCTATGAGAGCTACTCCTACTAGGTTGGTCAATGGTTACAGATCAGGCAAACTCAGTCCTCTGGTCTTTTGGGAGTGAAAAATGGGATGGCATTCCTTTCTGTGAAACCGAATCGTTGCCGCTTATCCGTTGCCATGCGGACAGGACTCTTATACTCTTCCTTTCTAGGTCTCAGCGTCCTGGCAGTATCTCAACCTACTTACAATCAGGATCACTTCCTCAAACTTCAACCATATCCTTCATCGGCCATCGCGCAGATTATCAAGGGTCGCCTTATCTGCTGCATACAGCTAGAAGGATAAGTGAAAACATGCTACTGCTATCGCCTTCCCTCTTTCTTTTCCGCCTGTTTCTCTTACTCCCATCCCAACCCCATTAACCTACCTTCCATACTTCCCAGATACATGGACGGCAACCGTACTGCCACTGGAGTCGAACCATCTGCAATTACCTTCTTACAACACCCGCTGGACACCTATCGTCAACAGTCCCTTATAAGGCCACGCTGTCTCGTTTCCCTGGCGGCGTTCAACGTTTGCACTCTAAAACAAATAGGTCAACAGGCTGCACTCGCACGCACCTTGGACACACTGGGTATTGATGTGTGCTGTGTGTCCGAAACTAGGATCAATGACCCTAATGAGGTTGTTGAATTAACTGCGCCCGACCTGTCCTCTCGCTATTGGTTGTACTCATCCGGAGACGCTGACGCAGCACTCACGGGTCAAGCTGGGGTAGATGTGGTTCTCAGCTCCAAGGCTGAGTCATTGTTGGTTGTTTGGATTCCGGTGAACAGTCGTTTGTGTGCCGTCTGTTTGACGAAATCAACCAAAGTTGTTCCACGAATTTTTGTTAGACGCCGTTTGGTTTTTGTTGCCTCTAATTCCTCTTGTTATGTGGAACTGTTAGAGTAGGCCAACCCTCAGTTATGAAGAATAAAGAATGCGGGTAAGCCTGAGTTACACCGAAACAAATCTCTCTAGTTATAGCTCAACTATGAATGGGTGTCCATCACAATTTATCACTTGTCTTTTGATAGATGTCTTACCAGTGTCACTCAGTCTAAGCGTTGGGCATTGGCTAGTCCTGAGCTTAGTCTCAGGTTGTTCTGGTTTTCAGGCCGACGGTGGGTTGACCACGATTCAGGAACTTTGTTGTTCTGCGCTCGAGGATCCGCACCGATTACCCACACTGTCTGTACTTCTGATGCTACTACTGTTCCTTCTGCCAAGAATTGAGCACGCTGCTTCCCACTGTTACCTGTTAAGCTATAATTGTTGCTGGCTTTTCACAAGTTCAGCTTGGTAGTAAAATAAACTCATATAATAATGTTTCAGCTCTACGCCGTAACAGCGCTTTGCTGCCGCGCGACCACTACCAGTCGCGCGCGAGCTGAGTATACCGCGAGGACGCCCACCCCTACGCGGATTCGAACTGGGGACCTTATGGTTGCAAACCAGGTTCGCAGACCACTCGGTCACTAGCCACCGGCTTGGTAGAAAGTATCGATTTAACTCCGACCAGACGGACATTGGTGAACATCCGTGGCAACTTTGCTCTGGACACCTGCTTTTTTGTACTGGAATCGCACAGTAGGCGCCAAAGCACCACTTTATGTCCACTTAAGGCTGGCCAGCCATGGACTCTGGTTGATCACGTTGCCATAAGTTACAGGTGGCGTGGTTCCATACTGGATTGTCGTTCGTTCTAGAATACTTGTGTGGACTCTTATCATGCCTTGGTCTGCTGTCGTTTTCCCATGTACTTTACCGAGAGGCGTACTAATTGCCTCTCTGGATTAACATGCTTGAGGTTATCTCAGCCCTAATTAAGGCAAACCATCCAGGATACTCATCATATCGAACTTTTCTCTGTCGCCCTAGGGCACTGTGCTTCAATGGGGTAGAATCTCGGCCAAAATGCACGGTGCTTAAGCCTCTGCTTGCGGCACTATCAGTCGTCACCGCACCAGTGATTGGATATCCGGGAAGTCGTTGAACCAGTTGGAATCCAGATGAAAACCCGGCTCGTTCTGATCACAATGTGACTAGACGGACTATTAGGCGTGAACTAAAACGAAGCCTGCGTGCTGACAAGGAAGCCTAGTGGACCAGTCAGGCTCGGTAAATGGAGGAGCCTGGAGCACTAGGTAATTATCGCAAGCTCTTCCAGCTGATCCACACCACTGGTCCCTGGAAACCAGGCGTCAGTGAGACAATCAGAGACAGTGTAGGTTCCATGATCCATGATGTGGATCGCCCTATGGCTAGTTGGGCAGTGCATTTTCGAGATCAGTTCAGTTGGCCCCTCGGCTCCTGGACCTTTTCCTGTTTAGATGGTGCTACCCGAATCGTGGCCAGTTATGCAAGAGATTCCAACGGAGGCTGTGGTTCGAAAGGCGATCACAGCCCTTAATCGTTTTCGTGCGTCTGGCCCGGATTCCATCCCATCTGCACTAAGTAAGGATGGAGGTGAGGTCTTCTGCAAAACACTGACCTCCCTGTTCAGACATGTATGGAAGGAGCAAACCGTCCAGACTAACTGGTGGAAATCGATTATAGTGGCACCGGCTGCGAACCACAGGGGTATTAGCCTAACACCGGTGGTAACAAAATTACTGACCTCAATTCTCGTTCGTCGCCTCACTGCGGAACGGGAATCCTGGATTAGGGAAGAGCAGACGCGTTTCCGCTCAGGATTGTGCTATGTATAGTGTATATTTACTCCGATGCGCATTCTAGAGCAGCGCCACAGATACCGCCGACCGACGATAAATGTGTCCCTCGACTTCAAGACTGCGTACGACTCAGTCGATCGATCCATACTCTTCGAAATGCTTGAAATATGCGAGCATTTTGCATGCATTGTGCTCGAACACCACGTGCAGCGTCAGGGTCTGTGTTCTCTCATCTGATGTTTTTACAAACATAGGTGGCGTTTGTCGGGTTTGTCTGATTTCCCACTATTGTTCAACTTCGTCCCGGACCCCATCATGGAGTGTTCCCTTGGGGGGTCTGACGATGCAGTCATTTGGGTGCTGCCTGGTGAAAAGCTAGCTGCTCTTGGTTTTGCGGTCGGTATTGTCTTGCTTCTTACCGATGGTGTGACTGCCCAGTGTACCCTGAATAACTTGTCTAGAATAGTCCCATTATTGTAATTTTCAAGGTGCAAAGTGTAGTTGCAGGAGCACCAGCTACTTGATGACTCATTGACCGTTGATTGCAGGGAACTCGAGATAGTTGGTCAATTCACTTACTTTGGCAGCCGCATCAGCAACGATGGGCGCATAACCACTGAAGCGAGTTAGAGTATTGTAAAAGCTAGTACTGCCTCCTTAGATCTGCGACTTTTGTGACATCAAAAGGGTTTCCCTCCGTCTGAAAGGCCTTGTCTACAAGGCCCCAGTGAGGACCGTCCTGCTATGCGGGAGTGAGATTTGGTCTCTTCGGTCTAAGGCGCCTTCAAGTCTTCGATCATCATTGTCTGCGAGGCATTGCTAGTGTCGGGTGGCACCAGCGCATCCGGAGCGACAATGTGCCTAGGCGAGTTCTATCCGGTGGTAATGTGACTAGTTCCTTAGAACAACAGTAAGTAATGAATACATTGTGTTGGCGTGGGCACGTACTACGTATGCCCGGTCGACGCTTACTCATGAGAGCCTTGGTTTGTTTGCCAGATGTAGGGTGGCGCAAGGCCCGAGGTTGGCAAAAGTTGACTTGGTAGTGTGAAACGAAGTTACTAATGACCAACCTGGGTGATGTTAGTCCATCTGTGTTACAATCTTCTCAATTGACGCGACTCCGAAATAGACACTTTTCTACTTCACAAACTTTTAACCCATCCAAAAGAAAAATCAGAACCCCAATGCCCTTGACAAAATAACGTGTTAACCGCCGTCAGTAACACACTGTACATCTGCAGCAGACCTTGGCTGTGTTTATGTCTTATTGACCATTGACTTATGTAATAGGAAGGTCAACTGCCAAGGTTAGTTGTTCCATGCCGATTTGGCCGATCTCCAGGAAGTTTGTAGTTACGTGTAGACTTCAGAACATTCCAGAACGTTTGAACACGATGTGATAATCGTTACCAATCGGTTACTCGCTGAAATCATGGATTTCCCTAAGAGTTCCTATATTCTCCTGGACAGCTGCGCTCCTGAGATGGCTCTGCTGTATGTGATGACGAACTGGGATTAACTTGCAGTCTTCTAGACAGTGTTCTCTGTCTGTCGCTCTTTGGCTGAACTGCTCTAGAAGCGGGTTCCGGCGTTTGTGGTCTTTTTTCCTTGCTCGTCTGAGAGCAGTCGTCCACGGGCTTTTTTGGCAACTTGAAGCTTGCCACCAATAAGTTGAACGGGAAATCGGCAGGTTTTGCTTCTTTTGATTGGCATAGCGTTGGTCGTTGCTGATTTGCATGCCGTGCCCAGATTTGTGTTCCCACTAACACGTCATACATGACATTTCCACGCTTGTTTTTGACCGTTCCTAGCGTTCACGTTTTGTGGCCTTCCCGGTTGTCACGTAGTAGCACTGTCCAACTATGAACGATCGTTTCCTTGCTCCATGCTGTGCGTTAAAATCTTGCTCAATTCTGCGGTTTCTTTCACCAGCAGAGGGTTCAGCGCGGTGGGATGGCGTCAAAGGCATACGGAGCTCTCTGTTCATCATAGACTGTGCTGGCGAGACTCCGTCCGGTACTTGTGGAGTAAATGTTGATCGGTAGAGGAAAAGGAACTGGTCAACCACCTCCTCTATACGTGCTTCCC